GGTAAAGTCTCCATTGTAGTTCCTTTTTTTGGTCTAACCAATTATATATTAAGGATTTTATAAGGTATCCCCAAAAAGGAACTACAATGGAGACTATAGGTAAACCCCAATCCCTCAATGCTAGACCCTTATCCACGAATAGAACTAAACTCTAGACTTGAAATCCGAATCCCCCATCCATAGCCTGAAGCCCTAAACTCATCCATAGCCTAAACCCTAAACCCCTAACAATCCCGGATCACCCCATAAACCCAGGAGCGAGTGGACCAGTCGAAGCAGATCCTTCAGATCATGGCCATGGCTTTTGGCCTCAGAACGCTCCGTTTCAGACAGTCGTTTGCGGGTGTTGATATGGATTTAGGTCGGATTTCGCTCCGTTTACAAAGGTTTCCTCTAATGGGTGTAGAAGCATCGTGGTAGGGCTTGGGCTGGATTTGTGGGATTTCATAGGGTCTTATCGGATTCCATTTTTTTTTTAATCGCATGTTGTATAGTATCTGGAGCGCTTGGTTAGGGGTTTGCGAGTTTTTGTTCGTGTGACAGAGCCTCAAGGCTTCGAGGTTCACGGGCGAAGGTCCGACAATGTATATCCCGATTCTTCTTTGCGGTTAGGAGGCATGGTGTCATGATGATGATGATGATGATGATGATGATGATGGTTATGATGACGTTCAGCCAAACCGCTGCATCCTAAAGTGTCGCATTCCTCCGCCCGAGACCCTTCACGCTGCTCACAGGCACGGCGAAGCAAAGAAGTGGTGGTGCTGGTCGTGTGGTACCGTACGCTTTGATCGTGCCCTTCGTTTCCTTTTCGGAAGCACAGAGCGAATCGGAATGAATACCGGCCGGCAGATCCCCGGAATGTTGACGCGACTTCCTTCTATCAGAATGTGGCGAGGGTCCAGGTCCGCTCGCGAAGCTGCTTCGAGGCTGTGCAAGGTAGAAGCGCAAAGAAGAACCTATGTCATTCCTTAGGGCTCCTTATTATAATCATAATATCAAGGGACCCCAAAACCCTATTCCAATTATCATACATTAAACCCCCTTAATACCCTTGATAGACCCCTTTAAACAGGAGCCCTTAAAGGGAACCCAATGCCCCTACATTAAACCCCCTTAATACCCC